TTTCAGCAGCAAGTGCAAGATAAAGCTTTTTTACCTGTTTTTCCTGGAGTTCAAAATTAAAATTTCATGTAAGAATTAATTGAGTAAAATAATGTTTTTTTTTATAGTCATAAAGAAGATTGAATGAAGTTTAGGGTGAAACTGAGCCAAGCCAACTTGTGAGTTCGCTTGAGCTCGGCTCGATCATTGGCCCATGAATTGAGCGAGTTAACGAGCCAAGTTAGCGAGAACATTTAAGACAAGATTAATATGAACATACATAAAATTTATTAAAATTAAAGAGTTAAACTATAATGTATTAAAAATACTTAAAACATATATTTAATTTTTAAAATCAAGGGATTTTTTATTATTTCACCCCTAATTATTTGATTTTTATTCCATTTTATTACAAAATTTGATTGAATCAAATATATTCTCTATATTTTAACAAGTGATGAAGCCAACTCATGAGTCGACTCAAACTCGTAGAATTAAGCTTAAGCTTAAGCTAGAACTCCATTAATTAATCAAGCTCAAACTCAAGTCATAGGTGGCTCAATCTCAACTAGGCTTGTTTACACCCCTACTTTCCAACGTACACAAAATCGTACAATGCACAACCATGATGAACAATCGAATAAAATGTAAAATCAATAATAATGAGCATACCCTAATCATCCCATGGAAAACAGAACAGAATTCCTTTGTTTTCGCCAGTACGAGGCTGCAAGAAGAACAACATAACTGATTTTTTTTTAATATATGAGTTCAAGATAATTATATAAGATGAACCAACCAGCCTTCTGTGCAGTTATCTAGCTGATGAGTAGTCTTCAAAGGAGTATCTAATTCTAGAACACGAGAAGCAAAAGTTGCACAAGTTTCTTCTATGTTATCAGATGATCCTCCTACCTGCAAATTTCCAGAACCGAACCAAAAAATGATAAGAATGAACAAGTAAATAGTGATATAAATATGTACATTAATTGCAAATCAGGAAGGTAGGGAGTATAGCAAAGTACAATTATCAGAGTTACATACTGAAGTCGCAGCTGGTTTGTCAAGAACCACATAGGAATCTGTTACAGCTATGATTCTAGACTTCCAATCAACCTCATAGCACCTGATTACAACACAAGAACAAAAGAGAAGCATAAAAATTTATATTGATTCCACAACAGAAACTCCTCTTCAATTTGTTTCCACTGCAAAGTCCACACAATAGGATTTATTATAGGCTAGATGATGTTCGTACTCAAGGTCTCGATTCAATGGCCTAACCAAATGAAAGAATTGGCACCCATAAGATTGAATCTTGTTGAGTGAAGAGAAAAAAGGGTGAAGTACGAACAAAATCAAGGTGAGATGGTGGAACAAGCTTTTTCAGGATATTTCATACTTTACTTGGTTTACCTTGGATATCTTTTTGGATGCACATGAACACGAAGGTAAGTTCCAGCTTCAACAAATTCATTTGCATCTGTAATTCTATGTGTTTTTTGTGCTTCTCTCACAGTTTTTCCTTTGAGGGAAGACCTCTTTTGCAGAACTGATGGATCTGTGACTTGCCTGTAGATCTGAACTTGTTCAGGAGTAGCACTTGGTGGAGGTTTTGGGCAGACCAATGCGTAGTGGATAGCACCAAATTGAATTAGATCTGCAACATACCTTCATGTATAAATTATTAAAAATGATATCTTCAATGTGAACCTGAACAGATACACCATATATACCAGATGACAATAAATCAAAGTAGCTGAAATATCAAATACAATAAAACAATTGGTGAAATCCACAAGTCCTGATTATTACTGTGTATGCTAATATAGATTGTTCAGCTGAACCATCAAAATATCAATCATACATTAGCGTATAAAATATTACAAATTAAAGGTTCTATGGGCATTTAGACATAAACAGCAATCACAAATGATTAATTGACAAATTAAGAAATAGATTTGTTGAAGTCCAGAAGATGAGAATCAAAACTTCAATAGAGCTTCACTTCTCATCCTATTCCAGTCTGCAGCCCTCCACATCAATTTTAATGAATAATTTGGAGCCTATGATTTATAAAACCTCTCAAATAGATTGAAGATGAAATCTTAAACATTGATATGTCATTTGGTATATTTATTAGAATTTCACCAAAAACTCCAAAATTAAGAATGCTTGAATGGGAGCACTCTTAGGGTGAACTCCAGGGAAGTTACACCAATGGGACAAAATCATGAGACCATTAAAAAAAATAGAAAATATCTTTATTGGTAAGAGCTCGAGCTATTATAAATGGTAGCATTACACCAACTTAAATATGGAGCAAAGTGTCACATGGTGGGACCCAACTTTTAAATATATAAGGGCCACCTCTAGAATTCTATCTATGTGTTAGATGATTATGAGTTAGAAATTCTGACGCCGGTCAGAACATCAGTTACTTAGGTAGGGAAGAACGTGAACCCCCTTAAATAAAATGAAGAGGAATTTTTCGAAAACAATATGTTTTTTGGTGTAATAGTGAGAATTTTATCGAAAACTCCAAAATTAAGCAAGCTTGTATTGGAGCACTCTCAGGATGGGTGGCTTACTGGAAAGTTACACCAATGAGATAAAATCATGAAGCTGCGAGCACTCGAGATGGGTGGCCTACTAGAAAGTTACACCAATGAGATAAAAGCATGAGGCCACTAAAGCACAATAGACAATATCTTGATGGATAAGAGTTCAGGTTGCTACAATATTGACCATAAGAATTATGATGTCTCTATAATTTCATTATGTATACCCTTAGCATTCTAGTTGCCCAACTTGTGTTTTCCATTGAATTGCAGCTGTCCTTATCTCCTGCTTTACTCCACGTATGGTTTTCACCATAAAAAGAGAAATGATATTTAGTTTTGTCGTGATAAGTGTACCTTCTCACATTCTCTGCTTATCCGTAGTCATTGGGAACTTCACGATGGAATAAATACATAAAAAAAGGCAGCAAAAAATTGGGAACTTCACGATGGAATAAATACATAAAAAAAAGGCAGCAAAACTAGCATTGAGAAAAAACTTTCCAGCACAAACCATTTCAATGCCATCTTGTGGAAAATAGTTAGCTAGCCTAAGCTAGCAAGTATGTCTCTATGCAAAATGACAATGGAAACAGACACATTTATAAAATAGTTAAAAGGAGCAAAATCCATCAAATTGTTGGAATTTTTTTACATTAATATCCATATTTAAAGTATCTTATTTTTTGCTCATTCCACATTAATGAGCATAAAGAGAGCATATCGCAAAGCTTGGTTTTCAACTTCGAAGCATTTTCATTTTCCAGAAAAAATAATCTTATATGAAATTTCTCTATAGATTGTCAATCCAAATCACCACTTTCATTGCAGAAAAGAGAAAGATGGGCCTTATTCATTGGTGGGGTGTGTTTGTATGTGTGTGTGTGTTGGCAGAAAGTGAAGGGGCAGCTTTGAAGATCCATAACCAAAGAAGAAAGACGAGAAATTTTCATCATTATATGGTTAAATGAGTCCAAAGAATATCCTCGTGTACTTGTAGATTGATACAGAGATGAGTAGCAAACATGGCTTCTGTTGTGTTTCTTGTAATCTTGAATAAAAAAGGGTAAAGAACCATTGATTTGGAAAATAATTCAATTTGCATATATGAGAAATATGCAGGCTTACATAGAAGGGAGTTGCAGAGCTTTGCAGACATAATCAAGAACATTTCCTCCTTCAGAAACTACAAGGTGTTCAATTCTTGGCGCTGTATTGTGTGATGGACATGGAAGTAAACGACTGTACTCAGTATACCTGCACAATTGAAATTATAAAACCGATGATTTAATTGATAGGGAGGAGAATAGAGTACTAATGGTAATAGAAACTGCATAAACCTTCCTCCCAACAAACATTTAATATCGAAGGGACAAATTGCAAACTATAGGTATCATCCTATCTGAATGATAACAAAGGTATGACTATACATGAGATTGTAAATAGTGCTTCAGAACCAATAAGCAGAAGAAGGAAACTAGAAAACAGTAGTTAAACACAAAATCATAAGAACTCAAAACAGTCACTCAATTTGTTTGGAGGCTCTATGCAGTTTGCACTCATGTTATGCCAGGTATATTCATTCTGTAATTAAAATTACAGATCATATTAGATTATCTCCATTTTAAAGAATAACTATTACTTATCATTGATTCTTCTTAAAGCATGCCTCTAGTCACGAAAATGTTTTATATTTTGAGATCGAGAATTTTTTTAAGCAAACTAATTTTTTTAGCGATACCTGATATTAACTAGATATTCATGGAAGCCTCAACTTCTATTAAAATGTCCTCTAAAAAACAATAAAAAATATATAATAAATCCTCTCCCTTTTACTTTCAGAATTAAATACTCTACATTTAATTAGAAGTACTAAAGAACCCGGCCAACAGCCGAATACAAAACTTAAATTCATACGTAGAACATTATTGAAGCAGAAAAAATGTTTTAAAACCCAGCAGTAGATTCAACTGATGTAGTTGACTTAATTAGTAGCACTGCACTCCTTTTATATTTTCATCCCTCCATGTTTATCAGGTTATGTATTAATAACAACATGAATTGCATGACAGCAAAATTAAATGAGATATAAAAATTAACACAAACAAACTTCAAGAAACTCCCCTAGAATATCACAACTGCATGATTTTAAGCTCGGACGCAAGAGAACTAAGATCTACGAATAAAAACCTCCGTGATGATCGGGCAGGTGCCCACCTCCATGCATATGACCCGAACTCACATGCCTGCTACAAACACGGTTCAAAGAATACTGCTTGAAAGGGCAATAGTCCATGACTGCTAATGGGTGAAAAATAAACAATGCTTTTATTGTCCTAAAGATTGTTAGCATAGATACAATGTCTGCACATGACTGAGAGGGAAGTTGGCCACTGTCAGGATGTTGTTGCTTGGCAAAAGATAAGAGCTAGTGTTGTGTTATAATAATGGAAAGGGTTATAATAAATTAGCTACGGATTTTTCGTTCAAGATATGATAAGTGTGCTACAAAGCTTCCTCCAAAGTCCTATTCTTCCCTATTTTCTCAATTTTCTACTCATAATCCCAAATTTTTGTTGGAGTTGTTATCACATGTCAAGACCCACATCGGGGTTTGAAATTAATCAAGGCGACAACATACGGTCGGGCAGTGATAATCATGATTTTATATTTTATTTTATATAACTAACATTTAATCATTCCAAAACAAATGAAAATTAAATTAAATTCAACAAATGAAAATTTTACCTTAATTCATATTATCCATATTTTTTTGTAGATATACTATTCTCTATTAATCATTTTCTAACCAAATGATTAAACCTGAAAGGTTAATTTAAAATAAAATAAGAGATACAATGGTCAGTAAATACTCTTACTTCTATACTATAATAACGAAACGAAAAAGGAAACAATATTTATGTTAGTTGAACTTTTAATAAATGAGTAACAGAGAATTTAACAATTTTTATTTATGAATATGATCGATTAAGATATTCAAAATCATTCTGTCATAATATATCATTTTCATATCTATATCATTTTATATACATTTGTCACATGAGCACCATCTAAAATTGTATCATTTAAGATACATCAATATCAATAAAATTTTTTACATTTACGTGCATGGGTACATAAGCATTCCACAGATAGAATCATAAAGAGTGAACACCATCATAGTCAATCATTCACGTACAAAAATACTATAATGCATAACAATATTGTTTCTAAAAATTTATTCATCACAATGATATAACCAATATACAAAAGAAAATATAAATTACAGTAAAATGATGCAATCAAAAATAATAATCAATGAATTTGGTTTAAAAACAAGAAAAAACTGTCATAGCTTAAAGGTAAGGATACTCATTTTCATGAATATATATATATATATATATATATATATATAATCTCACTAAACAACCCTAACCATTTTTCCTTTTAAAGGCTCGGTTCAATCTTCTCTACTTGTGCACGTAGGCCACCCCTCTCCTCCCCTTCAGTTTGGCTTGGTTTAGCCCTTATTCACATGCAAAGCCGCTCCCTTCTTCTCCTTCACACCAGAGCCACTTGATGCTTCTTCCTTCGATTGGTTAGGTCACAAGCTCTCCTCTTTTGCTCTAGGACGTGTGTGTGGCTCACCTCACTCATGCTTCTTCCTATTCTTCCTTCGCACAATACACCCTCGACGTCTTCTCCTGAAAGGAGCAAAAACCTTCAGGCATGCTAGGATTTCTCCTTCAGCTTCAAGGCGTCATATTTCCTTCTCTCACTAGAAACGGTGTTGACATCAAGGTATGACTCTTCCTCCTTCCTTCTCTAGTGTTCCCTTCCTCTCTCCCTCTCTCCCTCTCTCTCTTTCTCTCACTAACACCCGCTGCTGTCCTAATGCGATCGAACATGTGAGGATACGAGAGATAAGTCCTTTGTTTTAACTTCCCCGCTACCAAAGCATCTATTTTGAATGAGCAGCGAACAAAATAAATATATATTAGTACTTATTTATTTATTTATTGATAATTAATTAAATTAATTAAAAGTTTCAAACAAGTTATTACATCACATCCCTCAAATTACCATTTACCTACTATTATTTGGTTCTCTTATTGTATCATCGGTTGGTTGGGTTGCTAGGTTAATTTTTCCTTCCACGTCGTCCACTCCCAACACCAATTCTTCTCTGCCAACTACTGTCCTTTTCTTCCCTTATCCATTCCATATATTTATGTTGATACCTAAAGGCACTTGTTCAACAATAAAGGTGACTTAAAGACCTACTAACACGGAGAAACAACTAGATGTCATCAACGACATCCTTTACAATAATTAGATTTGCCTCATATTATTGGAGGTCAAACAGGAACAAGATTTTACATGTCGCTGAGCAACATAAAGCTCCAATACCAGTAGAATCCGCTATTGAATACTTTATAAACAACATCTAATTAAACTATTGTGCATAGCCAAACCATGCTTTGTCTGTGGCAATTCAAAAACCTAAATTCAAAAGATCAAACAATATTATTGCTTCCAGAAACACTCCAATGGTAATAAACAAACCCTTACCTCCTCTAACATGGTCGACCCAATGAAAAAAATGGTACATCTCGTTCGTTAAGACTAAGGCCAGTTTGGGATCGGTTTTTGTTTTTGTTTTCAAAAAAATAGAAAATAAAACAAAAAACATGTTTATTTGCAGTTTTTTTAATCTATTTTTTATTTTTTTTAAACAAAAGTGTTTTTGTTTTTCAAAAATAGAAAACAAGAAATATCTGTTTTTTGTTTTTTTTCAAAACAAACTCCCACCCAATCTTGATCCTGACCCCAACTCTGAACCCGACCCCAGTGCCTTCTTCGATGCCTTCTTTGCCAGCGATGCGGACGCCGATGACAGCAGATGTCATCTCCTCCAACATCGCCACTTAAGCCATCGTAGTTCAGTTCCCTTGTCGAGAATCCAAACTCCTCTTTAATCCTCTTTCAGTCCTTGTTTCTTCCAATGAAGGCTCCAAATATTTCTTCAACCTCTGAATGTTGACATTCGTGTTCAAAGACTTCCTCTGCGAGGTAACAAAAAATC